TTCCTTCCTTCCTTCCTTCCTTCCTTCCTTCCTTCCTTCCTTCCTTCTCCCCTCCCACCCTCCCTCCCTCCCTTCCACTCTCCCTCCCTCTTTCCTTTCCTCCCTCACTCCACTCCTCTTTCTTTCTTTCTTTCTTTCTTTCTGTTCTATTAGAAATGACTGTTAACTCCATTCCCTTTTCGGTCACTTTCTAAAACCCATCAGCCGAGCTGTCGCTCTGAGATGCTGATCTTATTATGCCAGAAGTGTTTAGTTTCAAGTTGACTACAGAATCATTTCCAAGTTTCTCGGAACATTAGAAGTCTCCTCATAATCTGGAGTAAACCTACCATGGTGGTTATTCTTTGTTGCCAACCTGACCAGATTTAGCGTCGTCTCATAGACAGGCCCCTGGGCCGTGTCTATCAGTGTATTTTCAGAGAGGAATGACAGAAGGGGGTAGACTCCCCTTGCTCTAGTGGCAGCATATTCCATGTGGTAGGACCCTGACCTGATTACAAAAGGGAAAAACAGAAAGCCAGATGAATACTGACATTGTCTTTTCTGTGTTCCCTAAGCTGTTGAGATGTGGGCAAGTGGCTGCTGCCTCAACCACGGGCTCCACCTGCGGCCAGGCCTTCCTCATTGTGGTGGGCTGTGCCTGAACTGTCCCCCAGTGTAAACTTCTTCTCTTTTATGTGTTAGATATTTGGCCGCAAGTGAGAAAAGTGACTAGTGAATCTGCCTTTTCTCCTCACCTTTACCCCCTCCATACGTGATATTATTCAAACGTTAAATGAGTTGAGTGTATCTTTGTATGCATTTTTTTTCCCACCCGGGATTTTAACCAAAAGGCCAAAAAGGAATTGTGTGTGTGTTTTTCTAAAACAATGCTAATATTGCTCCTTTGTGTGTAGATGTGAAGGGGTTATTGCGTATAAAGCATTTGGAATTCTGAATCAAATAAAAGATTTTGCAGATTGTTTTTTCACTTAATATGGCTTTGTTAACTTTTGAGGTGTGCACAAAGAGATCACAGTTATTTATGCTAACAGTTATACAACCTTCCATAGTCCAGAGAATCCACAGAAAACCAGTTCCACAGTGCTGATGAATCCTGTTTTCTCTTCTTGAAGGTACTCATATGATTCTCTTTCTCTCATTAAAGCCATAAATCATATTTGCAGTCTTTATATCAATACTTTTATGTCATGTATGTCCGTTCCCCAAAGGTGGGTTGTTGGGTTAAATAATATTTGTATTTGAAAGAAATTTGGATTGCGTCGTGGTAACTTCCAAGAATGTTGTTGAATTCAATTAGCGGCCTATAAAATGGCTTCTTTCCACCATTGTTTCCTTCATTGTTTATCATAAATGATATTTTTAAGATGTATGGCATTTATGTATATGTAATATATGGACATGTATATGAATGTTTTCTTACAAGTATGTATGTTAAGCATAATCTTCCATGTTTCTCTGCTCCCATACCTTCCTTATCTTTACTCTTGTTTAGTTTCATATGAATATTCATCTTATATAAATATGTGTGTGTGTTTTTATAAAATACATACTCATTTTTTTTAAGTGTCTCTCTAAAAATCTAGAAACCGCAAAGTAGAGAAAGCTTGATACTGGTTCTTCTGTGACTGGCTTAATTTGCTTGATACTGTTCTTTGAGGTTTTATCCATCTTTCACAAGTGATGTAACTATTCTTTCCAGCTGAACAACTTCCCTTGTGTATGTAGATCACATTTTTTTGATCCATTTCTTGGTTATTGGATGCCTAGGTTGGGTCTCACATAGGTATTGTAAATAGCGTTTCAATCAACATTGATGTACAGTACTTCTCTTCCGGTGTCTGACTGTTTCACTTAGGGTGACGGTCTCTGTGCTCACCCGTGCTGTGGATAATGGCAGGTCGTGCTTTCTTTTACACTAATGGTTTTCCTTTATATGTTTGTGCCACACTTTATTCATTTGTTGGTTGACAGGCATTCATGTGGTTTGACTATCTATCCGAATATCTCACCTATTCTCGGATAGTGATGCTAGTGCACACACGAGTGTTGTCTTTATTGCCACGATGGTAATTTTATTTCTTTTGGTATATATTCAGAAATGTGTTTGCTGGGCCATTTGAAGTTCTATTTTTAATTTATTTTAAAGCCTTCGTAGTGTTTTCATAGAGACTGTATCATTGTTAGCATATACAGACACTTTCTAGTCCCAAAACTTTTGCAAGTACTTTTTGATTTTGTAGAAACAGCCATGAAAAGAAGGAGAACAATCATCCTAATGCTGGCATTAATAGTTCATACTGGTTTTGATTTGTGAAAGTGATTGTTGGTGAAATCTGGTGATTAAAGAAATTATATGCTTTCTCATATGCCTCTTGTCCATTTTTGTATTTTCTTTGGAGAATAAGTATTCAGGATTTATGCTTATTTTAACTGTTTTTTTCTAAAGTGTTCTATGATTTAAAAGATTTTTTTGCTGGTGTGTGTGTGCACACACACACATGCATATGTACGTGCATATGTGCGTGCATGTCTATGCCATGTGTGGTAAGGTGCTATTGGAGGGCAGAAAAGGGACCCTGGAAAGACGGGCTTAGATTACATGGGTGCTGGAAATGCAACTCGTGTCCTGTAGAATCTGAGTGTGAGCCGTTAATGGATGAACTATCTCTCTAGCTCTGTCTTTCTGTTTCTTAAAGTAGAAGCTGAGGTGATCAGTTGGAGGCCTTTCTTCTGACCTAACTAGGCATTTTAGTGATACGAGCTTCCCTTTTTGTACACTTTAATATGGAGAGATTTTGTTTGTTGTGTTTTCCTTTAAGTTTAAAATACTTCGCAATTTCCTTTTTTCCTTGACATAGATGTTATTTATCTGCCAGCACTGGGGTTTCCAGACACCTCTGTGCTAGTGACTTCTAATTTAATTTCACTGTAGTTAGGGAATGCAGCTTGATCTGAATACTTTCATATGCACCGAGACTGTTTTATGGTTCACAGTTTGCTGTGTTTTGATAAATATCCTGAGTTTACTTGCAAAAGCTTTTATTGTTCTGTTATTGTTGCATGTTCCATAAATTTTAGTTAGGTAAAGTTGGTTGATAATATTATTTAATCCCTTACTGATATTATTTTTATTTTATTAATTGAGGCATTTAAAATTTTTTAAAGATAAAAAATTTTATCTTTTTCTGTAGGTCAGTTTTTTTTTCTCTCCAGTTGTGTCTGGTTTTGTTTAGTGTGTTTTGAAGATCTCTTGTTATATGTAAAAAAAACATTTAAAATATTCTGTATTCTTTTCAAATCAGGTTCCTAATCATTGTGAAATGACCCTTCCGGTCTTTTGTCTAACTATGTTGTGAGCTCTCATTTGGAACACTGTTTTATTCTCTATGAAGGAAATTTTTATGGTATCTTTGTTTTCTTTTTCGTGTGTGTGTGTGTGTGTGGGTGTGTGTGTGTGTGCACTTATGCACAGTTGTTCTATGAAGATCAAGCCAGGGCACCAGCCTCCCTGGAGTTGGAGATACAGAGAGCTGTGAGCTGCCATGTTGGTACTGGGAACCGATCCCGGGTCCTCTGCAGGAGTAGCAAGTGGTCTAAACCATAAGCTCACCTTTCTAGCCCACAAATACTTCTATATTTTATTTATGCATTTCCTTACATGCTAGTATTTTGTTGTAGCATCGTTGTTGCATGTGATGTTTTATTTTTTTTGAGTTTTTTGTTTGTTTACTTTTTTGAAATAAGATTTTACACCGTAGTTTGGCATGGTCTGTAACTTACTGTATAGCTGAGGCTGGCTGTCTAACGGTCCTCTCTTGGTCTCCTGCTTATTAAGGTTAGTGGTGTCTACCAGCATACCGGACTTCCTGTGGGCCTTATCAGCACTGATTTCTTTAATCTTCACAATGACACTGTAAAATGGGGTTAATATTGTCATCTCCATTTTACAAATAAAGAGTTGAACTTCAGAGGGATGTTGTTTAGCTATGTAAAACCACTCCTTGAAGGTGACAGGACCAGGTTTAGAAGAGAAATGCATTATAAATATTTTGTGAATATGAATTTGTCATTAGTATCTTTTATAATTTCAGTGCCAGCATGAACAACAGATAAAGCCATTTTATCTTGATCTTAGAAAAGCATCTTCCAATGCTTTATTTTTTCCAAAGGCTAAAAATAATTTCTTTAAATGCAGTGATCAGATATAGAAAGAATCTTCTCTAGTTCTCTGTTTACTCCAGAATATACTGAACAGTAAAGCCCATAGGAGGTACATAATTGTTGGGATCTTCTTGTGGTTCGCAGTGGACCAAATCTTCAATTTATTTGCAGTTTATGACATATGAGTTACACTTTCTTGGTAGCAATGGGACATCACGAAGAGTTTATGTTCTTCCCAGGATGTAAAAATGTGTTATAGTGCACACAAATCTCTGCCATGCCGGAGTGAGTACCATAAAGGAGTGGAGGCAAGTGTCACAATCTTTAATCTTCAGTGTGGAATATCTGAATGTTAATACTTAAGTAATAAAAGGGAGTAAGAGGGAAATATTGGACCCAAACTTAATGCGCGGCAGTGAATATACATTCACCAATAATTTTCGGAGATGGTTTCATTTGCTGTTGAATTTCTCTATGTATGTCAAATAAATGCAGTTGCCCTCTGGGGTCTGCATGAAAGATGGCATTCATTTCCTTCAGCACTGCAGATTTCATGTGCTCTGTACCGCCTGCTGTGGGAGTGTGCGGCTCTTGCAAGCGTGACTCTGCACAGCGGTTAACCCTGCGCTTGTGTTTTGTTCGCAGCATCTGGCGAGGACCCAATGTGAACTGCACGGACAGTTCGGGTTACACCGCTTTACACCACGCAGCCTTAAATGGACATAAGTAAGTGCCACTTGTCTGGACTGGAAGCTGTATGTGTTTAGTTACGTGTAATCTGATAACATTAGTTCTGTCTGTTGATGCCTGTCTTCTGGTCTTAGGCAATTTAGAGAGTATAAACACTGACGAATTAAGCTTGGGAGGAATATCATTGAGTATGAATGTATTTAGAATGTTAACTCAAAGAAGCGGTCCGAGAGGTAGTAAAACATATCACACAAGGGTGGTAGAAGCAGAGACAGGATCATGTTAATCCTGTGTGGATTTAGGGAAAGAATGGGATAAAAACCACTGCTTTTCTTCTCTTGACACTTGCCTATACCCACTCAACACAGAAGTAGATTCTTGCTAGAGTCCTGCCCTTGTAAGCCAGGGGCACTTATGTGATATTTTCTCTATCATCCACAATCACCTGTCTCAGCTCTAAACTGTTTGATTCTACGGAATTAATGTTTTAATTACGATGCTAGTTTATGCTATGGAGTGTGAGAGAGCATATAGCTACAACCAGTCCTTTATATCCGGTATTTTATCGAGGTAACCTAATGGTTTAGTGATAAGATGTGCGCCTTTTCTCGGGGACACAGATGCTCTGTCTTTTGCTACCAGAGGAAGAAGGTCTCCTTTTCTGTGTCTCCCTCTCCTTTTTTTGTCTTTCTTTCTGCAGGAATGATGCAAGTTAGTTACCCCAGGTTTGGCTTTTTTCATTTCTCTTTAGTATTTTGGGTGGGGTGTGCTAGTCAAATCATGCCTGTATCCCAGCATTTGGGAAGCCCAGGCTGGAGGATCGGGAGTTCAAGATCGTCCTTGGCTACTTCGTGAGTTCAAGGGCAGACTGAGCTACCCGAGAGCCTACAGCAAAAAAACACAATACAATAAAACAAAAAGGCATATGTATAGTCCCCTCCCACCAAATATTTATTTAAATTTGAAACACGCAGGCCTTACTTCTACTTGATTTGCCTGGTGACCATAAAGCTCCAACTTCAAAAGATTTACAGTTTGTCATGATTTATTACTACAACAGTTTTGCTAATTAAGACTTACTATGTAAATCTAATGTTATCAGTACATTTAAACAATCATTTGCATTGCATAAAATATTATAAGTGTGATGTTTTCTTATTCGGATTCTTCGTACTAGATTGCAACATTACATTTATTTTTATGTGCTAATTTTTTTATATTGTGTAATCGTATCCCATCTAGCTTAGAATGTCTTGTTTTCACAGGATTTTTCATTACTAAATTGTTTTTTTATAGAATGGAAAATACGTTTGCATGTCTGTCTGTCTGTCTGTCTGTCTGTCTTTATTCTCCTTTGGAAGATAAGCTCTTGCCTATATAACCCCACCTTGCTTCAGTCTCGTGATCCCTCCTCCTGAAACTGGGAAAGGAGGATTTCAGGTCTGAGTCACCATGCTCTGCTCACACCACACATCTCCTTAAAAGGTGAAAGAAATTATTATTTATTCTTATTGTATCTGCATGTTCCCAAGGTAAACATAAATCAGGTTAAGTCATCAATAATGATGTTTCTTTCTTTTTCACTTAATTCAGAGTTCAGGTTTCTGAGGAAGGGAAAGTCTATGGGGCCTGATGTATCCAGTGTCTGGGGCCCGACTCTGAGTTACACGCATTTCTTGCTTTCTTACAGGGTCACTCACTATAAACACTTATAAACTGCATGAAAGCAGGTTAGGACTTGGAGACTTTCTCAGTTTTCAGCAAATTTATTTAGTGAACCTTGCTGATTTGCACGTGATGGCCTGGAAAATATGACTGTTTGTTCCTGTTATCTGTATAGAAGGTGAAGAAGATACTGTAAAGGAACTGAGCAGTAATCCCTAGGATTGGCATAAAGAAAATAGCGCCCAGCTAGGTGTTTCCAAGCCTCCTGTTCAATGCAGAAATTCTTTACTTATTTATTTTTGATTTTATCTGATGAGCTCATTTATCTCTCAGATACTTTCTAGTAGAAATTTTCTCAATATCATCTTATGCTTTGGGAAAAGCACAGGAGAAGTATTTAACTCGCTAGCTGCTGACCTTTAAGCTGTGTTGATTGTAACATCTTTAGGCCTCAGTTTGGTGTGTATCAAACACATTGGCTACATAGTCTGCATTGTTTCCCTTTTTGATAGATACATTATGCATTGCTTGTTTCTCGGTTCCGGATTATGATGCAATAGTTCTGAAAGTTAGGGTATAACGACTACTTCTTGAGTCTGGCATGTTTAAATTACCTATAAACGGTCGCAGTTAGACACCTCTCATCCCACCTATTCCCTCTTATTGGATAGATGGACAAAGCGGGCCATTCTGGATAAACGATCCGGTGGCCACTTTGATGGTAAGGCGGGGTTGTACTGAGACCCTCAGCATTCTGCTTACAAGTGTATGCTGTTGTCAGTTTTCCATGTTACGGCCCCTTGTATTTAACTTCTTCCTGGTTTTTCTATGACACATTATGTATTTCTAAGATATCTTCCTGCATTATCAATTAGCATATTCTGTTGGTATTCTAGATAATATTGTCTAATGTAAGAAGAGATATTTTAAGGAGTTAAAGTTATCATCGGAGGTATAAAGGAACGACACTTCTTTTGTTGGCCAGTGCCACTTAGTAGACCATTAACACTATTATGTTGTATTTTTCTCTAGTAAACCCGAGCAGATGATATCAAAGCATTTTCCATTCTTGTTGCTGTTGTGGTTCCTAGATTGTTTCTGTACATGTAATCTCTAGGCTAAAGTTCATGGCTCACAGAGCCGGGGAGAATGTTGCAGGGTCCTGGATTTTATTCTTTTCCTTTTAATACAGTTTTCCCCCCATTCCAAACATGTGACCAGCCCTAAGCCTGTACACTGCAAATTGAATCCATTTCTTCCTCATTGGAGCATTTCACTGGGGGTCCTTGTTTATCAACACCAGTTAATCCACGAAGGGACAAGCATTTCCTCCCTGTGATTTGTTGCTTCTTACAGAGCAATTCCTCTCCAATCAGCCAGGCTGGAGCCAACAGAAACTGTGCTCTATTGGGGGTTTCCTGGATCATTTGCAATGACAAAATGGAAAGTTATTACCTTCAAATGACAGAAAAATCATGGTCAATAGAACAAAATCTACTAGGGATGCTTGTAAACTATTCTCACTGTGAACATGAATCCCTTAATTCTCTTCTGAGTAGAAGAGAATAGAATAATATTCCCAGTCTTCCCTCACCCCCGCAACTCCCCACATCTTCTCTTTCCTTCCTCTCCTACCCAGTGTTTTCCCGCTCCCATGCCTCTTTCCTGTTGGACTTTCCTTCCCCACCTCTGTACTGTTGTCTTATTTTTGTAACTAATTAGTTAATTAATGCCTGGGGTGGGAATGAAGACCTCATACACGCTAGGCAAGCTCTCTACTGACAGGTACATCTTCCTTAATAGGTGCTCCACCCCCTTCTTTTCTTTCTTTTCTGCTGTTGTTTGCTTGTCTTTTTCTTTGGGGAGGGGCGATTCTTACAAGCTGACTCTGAGAGACTTTTAATTCTCCTTTCTCCATCTTCCAAGGGTCAGGATGGCATGCCTAGCTATTTTTCAAAAAAAAAAATGATTTTATCTTTCACAATAACATTTTTCAAAATTAAACTCAAGTACTTACATTTCCTTTTATTTCCCTTCTTTAATTAGGAAATGGCTTCTTATTTTTCTTCAGTCATATTTCTCAAACTATATTGGCTGTGTTGTGATATTACTTGGATACTAAATAAAAGTGTCAGTGAATTTCTTTATTCCTTGGAAATATATATTATATTATATATAATAATTATATATAATATGGTATGTGTAGAGTTAAAATAGTTTCTATTCTATTTCTTTTAGGATTTAATACTTTATAGACTCTAGAATCTGTAATCTAAATTCTATGTTAAATTGTGACTAGAATTGAAAGAGTAAGTTATTTATAGTTTTGCTTTTGCTTCTTTTTTAGTTTTTTTAAATGAAAGGATTATTCTAAAATTTTATAATCGGATATCTGAAGATGTTGGTATAACTAGAAGCACCTTCGATTTTATTGCTTTTATTCCCCCAGTCAAGAAATTGTAAGTGTGAATTCAGTGTGTAAAGAAACTTCAGTGAGAGTGGAGTGTGTGTCCCCAAGTCTTCTGGGTACACCACAGGCCTGAAACTTTGTTTGCTTTGAAGAGAAGTGGATAGCCTTGGGGAAGCCTCAGATCTAGCCTTATGGACTTTGAGAGTTTCTTTGGTTAATTTTGTAGCCAGATGAAGCTGCTATTCTCAGACTTACTGACAAGAAACAGGGCAAAATAAACATTGTTGGCTGTAATGTAGTTACATGGGATCTTGTTAAGAAAAGAGAAAAAAAAATCAAAGTTGGTCCTACCAATTACTTTAATTTTGCTTAGAATTTATTCTGAAGTTTTTCAAAGCTATTTAATATTAATCAGAAATGTTTTTATATTTATCAGAACATGAATACAAATGAAAGTAGAAAAGCCAGTACTTTAAAATTTTGTATTTTTATCTGAATTTACATATATTACCTTAAAGCCACAAAAGAATGAAATTATCTAAATTGAATTACTTTTTGATTTAATATTTTATTTTGCCTGTGGCAATAAAATTACTTTCTCTGTGACCCCATCCACCACGTTTATATTAGGATTTCTGAACATCTTGTGCGTGCATGCGTGCTTGCGTGTGTGTGTGTGTGTGTGTGTGTGTGTGTGTGTGTGTGTGTGTGTTGGGGCTAGCAATGCATGCATGTTGTACATTCTAAGTGGGTACCTTGTCACCAAGTCAACACCTTTAACCCCGGATCACAATCAGTTATCAGATGCTGGCTGTATCCTACAGCCCGTTACTGAATGGTGACTGTAAGAAACATTGTTACTTTATTTGTAAAATGCAGGGATTGCTTTGCTACTTGCTAGTCTATAGACAACTTAATATCTTATCTAAAGAATGAAGCACATTCAGCAGTCTGTTGGCACCTCTGAACACATGATACAATCTAATTGAAAATAAAATAATAATTGAAAATAAATATTTGAAATACTTAAAGTAATAATTGAAAATAAAAAGTCATAATATTGAGTTACTACTTCTGTGATTTTTCAAATTTAAATAATATAAAAAGTACTCAAATTTTAATTTGCTCTTTATAAGCCTTGTGGAAAGGCTATCTAATTAACATTACGTTTGATACATCTAGATACAGCATGGAAAGGGCTAATGACAGTTTATTAATTCCTCATTGTGTTTACAGTTCAGGTACTTATTTGATTAGAAGTCTAGTAAGTGTGTTTTCAAACTGAACCTAAACTCAGTTGGTTCACTAGCTAACATGTCTGAATAAGGCCATAAAACTCAACTTAAATAAAGGTTGAAAGGAAAATTTAAATTTAAAGGTGTGCACATTTATCGAGTGGTACGTGTTTACTCCCAGGTATACATTTACTCAGGGGTTGACACAAGAGCATCCTGGATTGAAGAACATCCTTAAGCTGGGCAGGAGCTTTTCTCAGAATAAAGTAAAAAAAAAAATGTCAGGCACGTTAGCTAAAGCATTTACTTATACATCCAGGGTCCTGGATCCAATCCCTTGATACTGTAGAAAAATAGGAACTTGAATGAACACATTTAAAAATTGGGGCAGCAACTGAGACAACTAAGACAGCAAGCAAGATGGCTCAGTTGGCAAAGGCGGCTCAGTTGGCAAAGGCTTTTGCTGTCAAGCTCGATGACCCGGGTTCAACCCCCAGTGCTAACACGGTGGAAGGAGCCATCCTGCTTTGGCAAGTGCCCTCTGACCTCTACACATGGGTGTCCCCCAATCAAATAAACGAATGTAATAAATTTAAAAAGATACTATTTGGTTATGACCTTGTAAATCTTATAAGCATATAGATTATCCCTTTCTGATTTAGGTATTAAATAATCACAATGTTATGTTACACTACAGAGGTTTAGAATAAATCCCTGTTTAGCAAGAAACACTTTTCAGTGTATCATAAATTTTCAGGGTAAGCCATGAACGCTTATCGCCTATAAAAACTGGAGTCAAAGGACAAATTCTGAATTTTGGGTGGGAGTTAAAGATACTAGAAGCTTCGTTCCCATCAATGTTTCCTTTTGCTATCTGCCCCTTGAAAGGTGTTTCGGCCTGTGCTATATGACTATGAGGAGATCTCCAAGGCTGGGTAACTTTAGAGAGAAAGGGAAAACGCAGGCACCATTTTGCTGCCAGTCATTCTGTAGATGTCAATTGTATAACAGGATTTTATTCCAGGTAGTGAGGCGCTGTCAGCATCTTAGTTTGCTGATATTTCTAAACGAGAACGGTTCAACTAAATAAAAATAAAAATACCAAGTACGCATTCTACTGCACCTTTAATTTAGGAGCTATAGAAAGTGCCTGAGATTTAATTTTATGTGGCATTAAAGGCCCGCATCTGGTGATGTTGTTCTTGATGGCAGGGTCCCAAGGTGATGCAAGTTACCCCAAGGCTAGTGGACGTGCGTGTATATGCTTCTTCCTGTCTTCCTTAGAGAGTCAGTGATATCCATAGGCAGCTTTACCACAATTACCTTACTTATTTACTTATTTCTCTTTATGCCCCCTAGGGCCCATTTCTAGATAGCAGTTAGATTGGGTGTCCAATGTCTTAATATTTTGTCATATAAAGTAAATTTGATTCATAAATTCTTGAGCATAAAACCAACCTATATCAAAACTAAGAAACATTTTTTTTTTACGTAGAGTTAGTTTTAAGGTTGTTTTTATTTGCATAGATATTAAGAAATGAAATTAAAAGCTTTCTCATAATTTTCTTTAACATGAATTTGGAGAAATTGATTTTATTCTAGGACAAATTCTTCTTAGAACTAGGTATTTAGTTTGACCAGCCTCTTTGATTTTATCCCCCCACCCCCCCCGTTTTTAAAAGAATCACTGGAATTGTTCAACAGGACAACAGCCTGTCCTGAGAATAGTTTGGATGATGTAGAATCCACAGCCGTAGCCTTCTCGTTTGGTTCACATCGCAGCCCTTTGGACCTGACCGCAGAATGTAATATCTAAATTCCGTATTAGCAGTCAAAGAGATAAGAAAAGACTTGACTTGCTTCAAATAACTAAGTTATTAACTAGTCGAGATTTGGGACTTCAAGCTAGATTCTCAGTGGGTTTTTCTTACTCAGAACTATTGATTGATCCCTCTTTTCTCACTGGTAATTTACTGATCTCAGAATTGAAGTCTCTAGAACAGCTCTTATGCAGCAGAGATAGGAGAATCATGTGAGCAGAGTCAAAGTCTGATTCTCCTTCTCCTTGTCTGTGTTCTTACTTGGTACACATCCTCATGCTTACATCGTGGGCTCCAAGTCATCCATGACTTTTGTAGCCCCATTTTGTAGCCTTACCAGGCTCCAGCCGTCAGGACTGCTTTGTGGCTCCAGAGTCTTTTCCAGAAAGGAAGAGAGAACGCCGCCAAAATTAAGAGTCGGGTAATTTGCATAGCCACGTCACAAATCCCAGTCTTCTAAATTCAGATCTTGTTAAATAATAAATTCTAAAGGACACGTTAGGAAATAATTTATGGGCCTGGAAGGAGGGCTCAGCAGTTAAAAGTACTTCCAGAGAGCTTGTTCCCAACACCCACGCTGGGTCACAGGTAATCAATCGCCTGTAACTCTGGCTCAAGGGGATCTGATTTATTCCAGTCTCCACCGTCACCCATATATACCGTGCACATCCGGACACGCATGTCCACACATGTGAAAATACAATCAGCTCTTAAAAGAGATAGAATTTATGTCTTTGTTTCTCAGAAATCTTACCATTAGAAGATTAAGATTCTTCGGAACGCATTTGTATTTTTATGACACATTCTCTTTCGTCACGGCAATTTCATATGCCTGCAGCTGCTGTTTGGGCTGCTTTTTGGGCGGTGTGATTTACCATTCATTGTTGTGTTACGTCCATTTCTTGTGAACTAATGGGGTTCTGACCTCATTTCTTTCTAAACGGCCCCTCATTTTTCTCATCTATGACTCTTAGTTTAACCTCATGGAAAATTTAAGTTCAGGTCTTTCTGTTATGTTTATTATTTCTATTGGTGATTTTTTTTAAGCCTAAAGATAAACTTCAGTTTATAATGGTACATACATAACTATTTTTGCCTGCCTTGACCCATGAGTCTGTCTTGGGTTTCACTTAATGAATTATTAGAATTTGCGTCCAAATGCAGCCAAATGAAAGAGCAACTTTGGTTTAGAATTACAGTTTTGGATCGTTTCATGCAAAATTCAGTAGAATATATACTAGGTACTATTAATCAGTTCTTTCTGAGGTTATTTCAATGAAGGTTTTTACTCTGGGAGTCTGGTGGGTTTGAAATAAAGAAGCCTATGGGTAGCATGTGAGCCGTCCCAAGACTACACACATCACCGACGGAGCTTCTCTCTTACCTGAATTCCATTCTTGGGGTCACTTCCTGGGCTTGCAGGAGAAAAAGGAAAGCAGGATGGATCGGACATTCAATCGCATGTGTGCTGTGTCCTAACAGCTACCAGAGCGTGGTTTTGAATCGTGGTCTAGTACTATACATAGGCTGTTAGCTCCCTGACCCGTGGACCTAAATTTCTCTTATCTACATCTTAACTCCTTCATTCCTGTTCTCTCTAGGGGTGACATCTAAGCCCCCCAAATTCATTTTGGATGTGGTAGTTTTGGCAAACATCGGGTTTGCTTATAAATTCAGCTTTGTTTCAGGCTAGTCCTTAGATTTAGGTTCTTTGGAAAGACAAATCATTCACAGAACCAAAGGAGGTGATGTGATGTTGTATTGACTTAACTCATTCTGTTAATGAAATAAAATAAAATATATATTGTCCAAATGGATTCTATTAAGTAATTTAACTGCTTAGTCAGTGTTCTAGGTATATGGATACCTGTGTGTGTGTGTGTGTGTGTGTGTGTGTGTGTGTGTGTGTGATTTGGGAGTGCCTTTGAGTACTTTCTACGTAAGTAAAATAGTATATCCACTCTGTGAGCTCTTAATCCCAATCTTAAATTATAGCGCCTTGAATGACTGCTCTAAGAGCTAGCTAGTCTCTAGTAAGCATGCGTGCTTATCCAATAAAGTGTGTGTTGTTCAGCCTCTTTTCTTTTCTGTTGTTTTCTTCTTTCCTTTTGTTTTCTCTTTCCCTCAGGGACATAGTTCTTAAGCTCCTTCAGTACGAGGCATCGACAAACGTCGCGGACAACAAAGGCTACTTCCCCATCCACCTGGCTGCCTGGAGAGGAGACGTGGAGATCGTGAAGATCCTCATCCATCATGGACCGTCCCATTCCAGAGTCAATGAACAGGTGCCCTCGCCATACGCTTGCTCACCTTGTCCTTTACTTTCTCATTCTGCAAGGGCAAAGCCATGGTGAAGTAGTGAACACATTGTTCTTTACCTGCTCCAAGCCATTCTGCTTCTGAACTCCCTAAAGGAGAAGCTGGATCAGTCCTTTGGGTTTGGATGTGATGAACAGAAACTACAGGCTTGGCTGTGACGCACAGGTTCTAACACATTTGGGAAGATACTTTGTTAGGAAAGATCACACGTAAAGGAAATCACTGCACGATTTTTGAATGCCTTACATAAGAATCCATTTTTATCTCCTGAATATTTAAAGATAGAACAGTATTTATGTTTGTAACGAGAATTAGTGTTCTTTAATAAAATTTCACATGTGAACACAATGTTTACAATGATCATTTGCATAATGCTTTCCATTTGCATAGCATTTTCACAGTTAAGTACAGTTTTGGGGAATCAGTATGTAAAATACAATGTATACAGTTTCTAGATTCATAGTTAAAAATTTCCTCTAATTACACACACACACGCACACGCACACATCATATACACACAGGAGAAAGAGAGAGAGAGAAAGAGAGAGAGAAAGATAGAGATAGATAGAGAGAGAGATATAGAGAGGAGAGAGTTGTCTAGAGTAAGTTGAACACCACAGAGAATTATAATCATGGCAGATAAAGGCAGAGTATTTGCAGGAACATAACGTCTGTATTATAAACAATGAGCATATTTAAAGAGGAATTCAACCTTGAGCACTGAAACAGATAAGAGTGCAGATCTGAAAGAGTGAAATATGGCCTTCTAATACAGTATAATAGACATCTCGAGCTCCGCATGCCCCCTACTGTTCCTGTTCTGTAAAACTGTATTTGAAATCAGCATGCAGCCCAACAACTGAGCTACAGCGATGGCATTAAGCTGCAGGTTGGCGATTGTCCAATACCGATGTAAATAGACTAATGTAGTGCAAACGTTTCTAATTAAAGGACAATTACCATATTATTTAAATAGCTATAGACTTTGCAGACCTTTGGCTGAAATTAAGAGTAAGTAGGAATAAAAAATACCACTAGCTTTAAATAACAAAGGTAAAGATTTTTTTCTAATAAGATATAATGTTGGTAGGATTGATCAGCAAAAATTATTTTATTTGTTGGGAAAGTACCTCATTAATTTTTATGGCAATTAAAATTTGGGGTTTGTTATGTTACTCAAATGTAGGGTTTCAAAATTAGAATATGTTCATCTTTTTAAAAATGACAGATATGGGCATCTTTATCATCATCCTATGCTAAAAGGAAATTCGTGAGCATTCTTTTCTGTTCCTGAGAAACCAGAATTTAGCTCCTTTACAGGATGAGCCATCTGGTGGTTTATCCTTAAAACTGTCGGCATGGCACAAGGCCAGCCTGAAATAACTAAGTGGAAAAACAACCCGAGGTCAAAGAAAAAGGATGTTAATTCATATTAACAATCGTTCTTTAAATGACACAAAAATAAGAAACATCCAGTGTTCACTTATAATTGAAAGTTGAAAGTTTTAGATGATATAACTATATTGGTAGGATTTGAGAGAAACACTTGTTTTGGGTAATATTGAACATTGATCCAATTATGAAAAATTTTCTTTTTAAGGAGACTGGAATTCAAAAAAAATTTCTTTATTTTGCATTTCTCTTACTGTGTGCTGTAGTTTTGTTGGTAGCAAGTTAAGAGCATTTCTTGAGACTGTGTTGTTGTTGGTGTCTGTGCAGGCACATACAGCTGTGGATGTGGATGTATAGCCCAGTGTATGAGTGTGTGTGTGTGTTTGTGTGTGCCCGCCCTAGTGCACAGGTGCTTGTGTGACTGTGCATATAGAAGCTGAGGCAGGTGTTATTCCTCAGGTACTACTACCTTGTTTGGGACCTGGGACTCACTGACTGGATTTTCTGGCTGCCTGGTGAGCCCAGGGACCTTTTTGCCTCAGCTCCCTCAGCACCAGGACTACAAGCCCGAGGATGGAGCTTAGATCCCCATGTTTGTGGGGATGTTACCAGCTGAACTGTCCTCCCAGCACCTCAGGACATTTAATTCGAAATCCATCTTCCCCCTCCATACCTCTACTCCCGAAAGTCAGATGTGAGGATTTTATTCTTATCCGTAACTTGAATTTTAGCTCCCTCCCAATGGCACAGGAGTGCTCTAGCTAATTAGAAACATTTACGTATCCAAACAACATCGAGAAAGAACAAAAATCCACATTTACGAAGGGAAGTCAGTCTTTGTTCTGAGTGCTCTCGCCTGCACAATGTCACTTAATTCTTACAGTAATTTTCCGAAATGACATTACCTTTCCTATTTTATAGATGAAAAACTGAGCTCAGTAAAGCGAAGTAACTTGTTTAAGGCCACATGCCCCTGGGTGACCCAAACTTGAACTTGGATTCTAGGCTTCCCACTAATGTTGCCATCCTACGTCTTATTTACTTACGGAGCGTTTACTGCGTGGCAGGAGCTGGGCAGAGGACCGTATCTGCATTACCTTAATCCATATCAGAGCGTAGTGAAGTAGGGATTTTCATTCCTGCTGTCTGTATGGGGCCGTGGCCTTAGAGAAGAAGAATCTGCCCATGATCTATCTATTGAGAAATGCAGTCGATATTTAAAAAGGGTTTTCCACTCCTTAGCCAATTACACCGTCACGACATGGAAATTATGCACTGTAGTGTTTCACTGTGGCTTCTGAAGAGGACCTTTCCCTATGTGGGGTACATTGTTGTCCAGTACCCCTGATGGAAGTCTTCGTACCAATAATCCCCTATGTCCCTTCAGATTTTCTTTTGGAAAGCATTTGTAATCTTTTCCGTTTCAAAATGCTTTCGTCGTTACTTGGAAAAGTGCCAATGCTTATGTTGTATTTCACTAGTTAGCCTTTTCTTTTCTTTTTTTTTTTAAAAAAATGATATCATTTAATGCTTTCCTCATACTTTTGCTGCGTTGCCACACTGTGCCAGAGTTTGCTTGTCCATCTGCGTTTCGCATCGTGGCCCTCATTTGCATCATTGCTTCCGTGCCGTGGGTGACTTCCTACGAGCTCCACAGTAGCGTGGCGGGTCTGATGGATGACATGGCCAGTAAGTGTTGTCAGGGATGATTCATGTCAGGACTGAGCTAGCGTGGAATGGCTCAAGATTCCGTCATGCTCAGATCAGCATGTGATTTAGGGCGTATGAGTTATTTCTGGAATTCTCCGTTTAATATTTCAGACCTTTGCTGAAAATAATTGACCGAAATCGCGGACTGTGATGTCATTGGTTAGTAGGTACTGTGTACATTTAATAACACCAGTTAGCAGAGCATGGTTTTCTATGTCGTGTTTTCATGCTTTAAAATAACCTTGGGGCTCCTACCGAGCTCATAAAACATCCAGGTTAAAAATATCAGGGAGTCTATGTTTAAAAATAATCCAGTCTTACATTGTAATGTTTGAAAAAGAATCCGTACATGTTATTGTTTGGTTTATGGACCACACTGCATGGTTAACAGAGAAGACAATGTTCTTGTTACACAGATGAGGATGGTTCCGGGATCAAATGGGTTGTGGATGAGGGAGCTAACACTTCCAGGTAGGTCCTGTCGGCCATTTTATTTTGTTCAAAAGCAGTCATGCAAATGACGGCCATCGAAGAACATGGGGAAGGACATCCCCGGACTCACGCACTTGCAGGCCAGTGCTAAATGGGGGGAATGGGTTTATTGGGAGGGGCAGCAGGGAGGAGATGGAGATGGGAAGGGAAGGGTGGCAGGATGGTGTAGATGCAGTGCTCATGAATGAAGCTCTCCACAGTTAATTAATTAAGAGTAAGAAAGACAAACTCTGGTACCATATGGCAATAATGTAGAAAGTATGGTGTTATTTTTTCTTCTCATGCCCTGTGCTCTATGTCCGTTTACCTGCCTCTCCTTTCACCTTGTCTATTTTCCTCCTTAATTTACTTTTGGGGCAAAAGGTCAGCGGACTCTTGTCTCAAAAGGGATTTGTCCTTGCCATTTCCTGGAGCTTGAGTTCTCCTGGTGGTGGGTAGTTCACTTTGAACACAGGCCTTCGGGTAGACGGGTTTTCTTTGGTCACTCATTGTCACACTCTTGAGTATTCAGAGAACACCCATGTGGTTAAAGATGGAGAACCGAGAACCTTTGAAGAGCGTTCTCTATAGATACACGAGTGATTGTTAATCAATACATCATCACCATCTACTCATAGGATGTTTCTTTTTAGGCTGCTAGGGAATGTGGTCACAAGTATATCCTCTTGCCTTTTTAAAGACTCCACAATTGTAATCTCCACTGATAAGAAAACCCAAGCATATGTTGATAATAGATAAAAATCTGTGAACATTGACTCCTAAATAGGTCTTTAATGATGGAGATAATTTCTCCTGAGATTTGAATAGCACTAATTGGTATTATTAGAAGGACTTATGATTTTGCTCTTATTTTTTTAGACTGTGGGCAATGGAAAAGTAGACCTTTGAGGAGTCATTACTTCATGACTGACCTTTCTCTTTCTCAGAGAGACGTTACAATTTGAGAAATGAGCTTCAGTCCTTTTTTAGACCAAGGGGAAATTGGGTTGGTCTGGAAGCATATTTTTTTCTGTCAAATTTTCATGTGTGAAAGTAATAAGTTTGGGGGATCTTATCAAGCTGGTAGAATAGTGAGATTTGAAAAAATTAGGAAGTCTAAAACTATAGGTAGTCAGTCTCTGTGAGGACGGAAATGATACTAAAACATCCAAACTAAACCAAGGTTAATTCTTACAAACGGTAAGACCTACAGGATACCTACAGGAATATTCCCTTCCGTCTGTCTGACCCCAGCTACATGTCCACTGTCTCTCAAGAGTAGCTTGTCTCTAGAATCTTTTTCCTCCCCTTGCCCTGTCTTGATACTAGACACACACAGTCAGGAGCCTGTCCCAGTGCACCCCACCCCACCCCACCCTACCCACTTCTCTTTAAATTTTTAAATCTTTCCTCTGGTCCCTTAATTTACTGGTTGACGTTTTCCTTTGGTCCAGCACATGTCTGGGGTGTTTTTTGGTCCTGGAAGATTAAGATGTGTTTGGGTTTGAATTCTTTTTGTTTCTGTAGGAGCTACTATTTAGGAAGCCATTTCCTCTCAACTCAGGGCTTTTTGGGTGGAAATCTCTGGAAAATTTCATGATTGCATTGTAGCCCCAGATGGAGGCAGTGCGAGTGTAGGCTTTTAAGTTCTGACAGGTACAAAAGATCCCGATTCTTCTCCGATGTAGCGTGCCATTTTCAATTTTAGTCTCCTTGTCCGTGAAGCTGGTATCTTAGTACCAAACTTTGTAAGACTTCTCTAGGAGTTAATGAGACAGCGTTTGATAGTTTGTAGCTGTTTGGCCAGTGTGTATAATCCCCACCGTCATGACGGAAGGTGGTATATGTTGATAGTTCAGACTTCAGGTCGGGGCTACTTGTTTAAAACCTGGGCTACATGCCACCTTCCAATACTGTCCTCAGTGGTCCCGTGGGAAGAGATGTGAGCTGTCAAGAGAGTCTTAGCTGCGCATTAACAGTGATGCTGTCCCACCAGAGGCTGTAGGGAAACACAAAGAGACTTGAAGCATAGTGTCTTAACTTCATGCTCCCCCACGCACCATGGAATGTCTGTGAAATCAAAGACCTACTATCCAGTTGCTCGGTGCCTTGGTTGCCTCACCCTACAGGTGAGGGTGATGATAATGATTGCTCCCATCCTCTAACGAGGACCAAGTGAGTAGAGACAGGAGATGCGCCTAGCGTTAACTATGGTAAGGGCAGCCGATCTTTCTCGCTAGAGCCCTCATTCAGTACCTGTTCACTTCTGTCATTAATATTTCTTCTTCACAGTTTTCCCGACTGACAAGACCCCCATCTGTCTGTGCCAATTGGATGACGGGTCAATTTGCCTTGTTACTGAATTCATTAAAAAACAAACAGAAACCTTCTTACATTTCTAGAGAAATCTGTTTGGTTGTTCAATAGGAGTTCCTGTCAGGGCAGATGCCGTACTCTGGTGTTCTTGGCTGCTTGCCTGACTGTGGTTCTAGGCTTGGTTTTTATCTATGTTTTTGAAAGGATCTTAGCTTAGGGGCAGGATTCTTCATTCTTTTTGCCAAGAAGAGAAGCAATGATTTAAGTTTATTACTGACCGTATTTATAATGAAAACAATAGATTTTACTTATTTAAAATAAAATGAAACAAGTTGGGTAACATGTCTGTAAATCTCTCATCATCAAAAATTTATAATCTCAAGTCTTGTCTACAAAGTCAGCCATTAAAAGTATGTTATAATTGTTATTAATCTTTCTTATTAAAAATATAACAAAGGCATGTACAATGCAGAGAACACTGGCCATCTGGACCCAGCAGAGGAACTGATGGCTAAATCATCATTCTTGGAAGTTGGACTATGTGATGCAGAGAAAAGTTTGATCTCTCACTTTGAAGGGATAAAATTAAAACATGATGATTATTTTATCAAATATAATACTTTCTAAATATATTGCATTTAAATTTACATTTCCACACATGCCAAGTTTTAAAATCATTGTTTCTGATATTAATTACATCTCTGAAGACATGCCTTTTCTACCTTTGCCCTGAACAGAACAATGAGAACGAAACTGCCCTGCACTGTGCCGCTCAATATGGACACTCGGAAGTCGTTGCCGTTCTTCTGGAAGAGCTCACGGACCCCACGATTAGGAACAGCAAGCTCGAGACCCCGTTGGACTTGGCGGCCCTGTACGGACGACTGAGAGTTGTGAAGATGATCATAACCGCACACCCAAACCTGATGAGCTGTAACACCCGGAAGCACACGCCGCTTCACCTCGCCGCTCGCAATGGTCACAAGGCGGTGGTCCAGGTGCTGCTGGAGGCAGGAATGGATGTGAGCTGTCAAGTGAGTGTTTTAGCCCTCTGTGCATTCAAAGGTGATGCTGCTGCCCCATCTGCTTGTGGGAACACAAGGGGAGTTAACGCACAGGTTCTAACTTCAGCAGAATCGGAGGGCTGTGGATTCCTAGTAGACGGAAGTGGTGGGTAGTAGCATGAGTAATTGTAAAACTTAGTGAACGAATTTACCATTTTTATTCATTTTGTTCTTTTAAGATTTATTCATTTTTACTTTGTGTGTAAGAGTGGTTTGCCTGTGTTACATGTACGTGCCTGGTGTGGGACATTGAATCCCCTGGAACTGGAATTACATATAGTTGTGAGTTGCCTTGTAGATGCTAGGAACCAAACCTGGGTCCTCTACAAGAATAGCAAGTGTTCTTAATGACTGAGCTATCTCTCCAGCCTCAACTCTTAATAGTTTTCATATGTTCACAATGCTTAGCATACTGACCCATTTAGAATCCAGTGGTTCCAAATGTTGCATGGGGTGGAGTGATATAAATTTCCAATTTCCAGGAAAGAGATTAGGACACAGCTGATAAAACCAGAATGTGGGCTTCGATTTATTGATTAAGGTCTAGGCCTTAAATTAATTTAATTTAAATTAAATTAAATTCCAATATAATTTACCATCTGTACAAACTAGTGACCAATCACAAAGTCCAAGGAGCCTCAGAAGAAGAACATTGAAAAAATGCAATGAGTGTTTAAAAAAATTTATGTACATGAATACATTTGTGTGTGTATGAGAGAGAGAGAGAGAGAGAGAGAGAGAGAGAGAGAGAGAGAATCAGTTAGAGGAGTATGGAAGAAGAGTTATTTAAAGGACCATGGACACTAACTTGTAGTCTCATCATTGACGAAAAGGTCTCTCCTCCAAACAACTCTTGGCTGCCTATAAATCCCCAGAAAATAATGAGACTGCATAATAAAGTCAGCCCAATTAAGAAAGCAGGGATAAGCTCACACTTCACATTATTAGAATTACCATTCTTTTCTGCAGATTTTTAAACCTGATTTTTGGTGACTAGCGAGTGAAAATCATATGTTATGCGAATGATTTAACTGTATATCTTTCTTATCAATTTCTTTTATCAAATCTTGAAGAGTTCAATCACTCACACAACATAAAGTTAATCATACTTTCTATGAATATTCTGCTAAATTGCCCAAATAATACTCAAAAATGTAAGTTGCCATCCTGGAAGCTGTGGAAACGGAAAGTTGAATGAAGTACAGCTAATTTTTAGCAACTTATAGTGCAGGGGAGGTGAGGTATGTATAATGAATACATCTCAGTTAAATAAACTTTTTACTCTCTAACTTCTCTAGATATTTAAAAAACTTCTCTATGGCTGCGCAATGGTGGCGCACACCTTTAATCCCAGCACTCGGGAGGCAGAGGCAGGTGGATCTCTGTGAGTTCGAAGCCAGCCTGGTCTACAAGAGCGAGTTCCAGGACAGACTTCAAAGCTACAGAGAAACCCTGCCTCGAAAAAAAAAAAATGAAAACAAACAAAGCCTTCCCCAGATTTCAACCGTTCCCTCTCTGTACTCTGTCTCGTCTTAGTATTACTTTTGTTTTACTAAGGAAGAAGAAACAATCACAAATATCTTACTATTTTTAACATTACATTTTTTATTTAGTGCATGTGTGTGTGTGTGCATGTGTGTGTGCGTGTGTGTGTATGTGCATGTGTGTGTGTACATGTGTGCGTACACCAGAGGAGTCAGTTCTGTCCTTCTACCACATCGTGCTGGGGATTGAGCTCAGGGGCTCAGACTTAGCAGCAAGCACTCCTCCTCTGAGATCTCTCACAGACCCTCCTCTCCTTCCTGGTCCTTTAACTGAACTTTCCCTCTTTATAACCGTTCAGCGCTACCCTTGTAGCTTTGGTTCCGGCTCCCCTGTCTACTGGAATAGGTCATGCTGGCAATAGTCCTGCTCTCTTTGACTTTGTTTTTCCTTCCCAACTGTATCTTTCACACAAGGACGCAACAAAATTATCATATTTCTTGTCTTTAAAAGGAACGCTCATGATCTCACAATTCCTTTTAGTTGTTATCCCCTGTCTCTGTCTTGATTTATATTTGTTTATTTTTGTGATTACTTTTTAAAATAAGATAGCCCGAACTCAGTATTATTAGGTTACATATCCCATAATACTTGAGGTATAGCTTCAACGGGAAAACACAAGTTCTATTATGTGTTTAGGATGGACACAAATGGCCATATCCCAGCATAGTGATGCAGAATCAACTCGTTGTGGCCAGAAGTGATTGAGAACTGTTAGCTAATAATTTAGAGGCTCTAGCGTCTGGAAGACCAGAGTGGGAGCTGGCAGCAAAGACAGACATTTGTAGGTTTTCATCTGATGGTGTAATGAGAAAAACCCTTAAAAATCAAGGTGGCCTAAAGCTTCAAGTCCTGTCAGGAGCATAAAGGACACATGTGTAAGTAATCTCGTCTTCTTAGTGGTTTCCATGTAAAATATGCAAACTGGCAAATTCGTACTGTGGAAGGCATATAGCAGGAGGAGTCAGCCGTGTAGCCTCTCACTTCATCCCTTGCTCCCTGCTGCCACCTGATCTCCACAGGTCAGTGTCCCACGACCTTACATGCAGACATACTTCCTTTTTGTCTGCTCTTATTTCTGTGTTGACCTCATTTACCCTCTTAGTTCCAAAGACATATTTATCTATTAAGTACCAAATTTTTTACTTTCTTTTGTTCTTCCTCCCTTTCTCCCTCCCTCCCTTTCTCTCCCTCCATCCCTTCCTTTCTCTCTCCCTTTTTCCCTTCCTCCCTCCCTCCCTTTCTCTCTCTCTCCCTCCCTTCCTTCCTCTCTCTCTCTCTCCCTCCTTCCCTTCCTCTCTCTCTCCCTCCCTCCCTTCCTCTCGCTCTCTCTCCTTCCCTTTCTCTTTTTCTTTATTCCTTTTCCCCCTGGACTTTACTCTGAACTCTAAACTACTGTGTGTAATTACCTCCTGGATGTATTACTGGATGGCTAATGAGCATCTCGAACTCATCATTTCCCAAACCGAACATTTAGCTGTTGTATCCATTTCTTTCTACGGCTGCTAAGTCCTTGCCCGTTCCCATTTCAGCCAGGGACATTCTTCCGCTGTCACCAGACTTTGGGCATCTTTCATGCATTGCCTTTGTTTCCGCAGAGCACATCCTCCAGGCTCCAAGGTTAAGCTGTGAACAGAGTATCACTGTTTAACAGTACCGTCCACAGTATCACCTTTGCCCACATCCTCTCCATCTCTCGCTTCCTATGTTTCTCTGTTTTCCCCTTGCCTCTCTTCACTGTTCAAGCTGCTTTGACAAATACCACAGGCTGAGTAGCTTAGATCAGAGGCATTCATTCCCCCAGTCCCCCACAGGTTACAAAGTCTAGGATCAGAATCTCAGCCATACTAGTTCTTGGTAAGCAATCTCCTCCTACCTTGTTATTTTCTTCCTTCGTGTGACCTTTCTTCCATATACAAATGGAGAGTGAGTTCTCTGATGTGGCATCATCTTATAAGGACCCTGGTATCATCAAATTAGCGCTCTATTCTTAAGACTTAATTACTTCTTTAAAAGCCTTATGCTCAAGTGATTCACTGTATGGATTAAATTTCAACACCTGGATTTGGAGAAGGTATAAATGTTCAGCCTATAGCAGACTCTGTTTAGTCTCTTTTCAACAGAGTAGCTAGACATGACCCCATTCCATGAAGTCAGGTCACATCACTTTTCTATTCCTAAACCTCCCTTGTTTTTCCATCTTAGAGCAAAAGGCAAAGCTCTTCATAATGTGGCAGCCACAGTCTCACAGGGCTTGGCATTCGAAAGGAAGCAGTTTGGTTGGAGACTTGTTTGTAATTGAGTTTGTAGGACAAGGGGATTGACGTCATTGAGGCTTAGCCTGTAGGGGACGGGTTCTAGAAAACCCGAAAGATGAGGAAAATGTACAGCAAAGGGAAGAAATGGAATAAAGAACTATTTAGTGGGGAAGTTCCCCGTGATGAAGTTACAAGAGGCACGCCAACCGTGTAGCTGCATGCAGTCGTGTGGTCACATGTGTTCACTGAGTGTGAGCTGAGTACCGGGCCTTGCCTGCCATGCATCAGGGTTGCAGCAGCAAGAAAAGTAGACAGGGACATCCGCTGTGATGGAAGGGGACTCTTGACAAAGCGGAGTAAAGAGAAGTAAGATCTTTGCGGAGGAGGCTGAAGTAGCAGCAAGGTCACAGGAAGGGCCTTTGGTTTGTTTCGTTTTGTTTTAGGATAGTGGTAAGGTTGCACACCACAGTGAGACTCACATGCAAACCATGCTCACCTCGCGGTGGCTAGTTCATGGTTGGGGTGGCGGCTCCATGTGATTGTTGTGTCAGCGCGAGGATGTCAGTAGATGTGTATCGTCTACTTAATAACCAGACATGGCTGTTCACATCTGCAACTTCAGACCTGGCAGGCGGAAGCAGGTGGGTCTGGGGGATGCTGACCTGCCAGTTTAGCCAAAATAGTGAGCTCCAGGTTCAGTGAGAGACCCTGCCGAAAAGACTGGTGGAACAGCCAAAGAGGAAGACGCGACAGCATCGACCTGTTTCCTGTAACATGAAGGGGCCGGCTTGTTGGGGTTTACATCCCTCCAAGTACCCCAACAAGCCAGCAAGTCCCAAGGAAAATCACACAGAGTCTACATCAGGTTATAAAACTGATTGGCCCATTAGGTCAGGCTACTTATTAGCTCTTATAACTTTTGTTACCCCATTATCCTTATCTATATCAGCCACACAGTACCTTTCTCAGCTGGGCAGCTTACATCTTGCCTCTTAGGTGGTCTGCGCAGGAGTGGCTGAGGGAGCTTTCTCCTCCCTAGCCTTATCCTATTCTCATTGCCCCGCCTCTACTTCCTGTCTGGTTGATCCGCCTATACTTCCTGCCTGGCCAATCAGCCTTTTATTAAAATACATGATTGACAGAATACAGATAATTCTCTCGCACCATTTCCCTCTTTTTTTTTTTTAAACAAAGGCAAATACCCATAGTCCATTTGTTGGGAATGTGGGCGTAGTATTTCAGGCTACTTCCTGCTGGTTGGGGGCGCTGATAATCTTATTAGGACCTAAAGAAAATTTAGAGTTATAATCAAGTCCTGACTGAAGTATCCTGGGAGTCTTGATCATCTCAGGCAGCAGTCTTGAATCTGTTCTGGATGTAGGACTCAGACATCTGGGTCATCTATTCCTATCAGAGATTTTTCAGGTGGCCTCCCTTGGTCAAAGGTGATTTTTCTTAACTCTGAATAAATCCATAGCCTCTCATTTTCTGTGGAAACAAAAGCAGAATCTCTTCTCCCAAGTAACATACCTTTTGACTTCAGTTTTGAAACCAAGGTATTTTCAAAATGTCTATCTTGGGTTAGTTCAGCAGCATTTGTAAACAAATGTCTTTTGGTGACTGTTGCTCCTTCCTCAGCATTCAAACAATTAAAAGAGAGCATAATAACACACAGTATCAAGATTCTCTGTGCATTTTCCATCTTTATGCGGCTTTATTTTACTTCTATTTCTTTTATTTTTACTTTTACTTTTTGAGACAGGCTCTCTGTATATCTTTGTCCTGGAATAACTCTCTAGACCAGGCTGTCCTTGAACTCACAGAGATCCTCCTGTCTCTGCCTCCCCAGTGCTGGGATTAAAGGTGTATGCTACCACACCTTGAACTCACAGAGATCTGTCTGTCCCTGCCTCCCAGGCATTGGGATTAAAGGTGTGCACTACCACACCTTGAAGTCACAGAGGTCAATCTCTACCTCTGTCCCTTGAAGTCACAGAGGTCAATATGCCTCTGCCTCCCAGGCATTGGGATTTAAGGTGTGTACCACCACACCCAACTACTCTCTTTCTTCCTTTTTTTTACATTAAGAACTTTAACTTTTAGCCTGTATATATTTTTAACACATTGTAAAATATTTAGAGGTTTTCTTCCTCTTTGAATCTCTCTTTACTGTATATCTCTCTTTTTCTGAACACATGAGCCTTTAATTTACTAAGCAATATGGAGAGCAGTGGCTTTGACGGCTAGATCCAACCCAGTCCCCAGCTCTCCAGTCTCATGGCTGAGATACCAGTCAGAGCTGTGTTCATTGCCACAACTCTATGGCGTTTCAAGGTCCTTGCCAGCAAGCAAGCTGGAGCATTCTGCTCACAGACCACACTCAGTCGGACCGCCCGCCTGAAAGAGTCAGAGTTTGCCCTGGCAGGACGACCCAGAAAGACGGCATTTTAAAACAGCGCAGCTTTTTTCCTGCTATGGCTGAAAACCGAAAAGCATGCATTCAGCTTTTCATCAACACCATTTAAGTGCTTCGTGGCAGGACCTCTTAAAAGAGCTGCAAGGTTTTGCAGCTAAAGCTGAGTCAGGAAGCCTCTCTTAGATGAGAGCATTTGCTTGCCTCTAGCAAGCAGAGCAGACCCGAGAAATTGCTGCTACCAAGAAACCATGCATAATGCTGTTATTTTGTTCTAGAATTACTTCCCAAGCTGTCTCAGGCTTTATGTGGATGCAGTTGTCCACACGTTGGCGCCATATGTAACATGACGGGCCGGCTTGTTGGGGTGTCCATCCCGCCCGGTACCCCAACAGCTGGCAAATCCCAAAGAGAAATTACACACAGGACTCCATAAGATTATAAACTGATTGGCCCATTAGGTCAGGCTACTTATTAGCTCTTATAACTTTTGTTACCCCATTATCCTTATCTATATCAGCCACACAGTACCTTTCTCAGCTGGGCAGCTTACATCTTGCCTCTTAGGTGGTCTGCGCAGGAGTGGCTGAGGGAGCTTTCTCCTCCCTAGCCTTATCCTATTCTCATTGCCCCGCCTCTACTTCCTGTCTGGTTGACCCGCCTATACTTCCTGCCTGGCCAATCAGCCTTTTATTAAAATACATGATTGACAGAATACAGATAATTCTCTCGCACCAGTTTCCAGTATGTGCGCATATACCCCTCGCACACAAGAAACCTCTTTTAGTTGTTTCTTTATTTTTTTTTAAATAAAAAAGAAATTAAAAAAGCCAGGGTCCCACAATATCCTTCAAATGCATCTTTATTACGACCCATTTCTTAAAGGTCATCATCTGGTACCCAAGCCTTCAACACATGGCCTTTGAGAAACATTTGATACCCAAACCGCAACACACAGATTAAAGTGGACACTTACTATCTACTCTTAAGCACTGGGGAAAATGCCTCTGTCCACATAGAAATACGTTTTAAAGAGTTGAAGCTATTTCTACAATTTTCCCTTCAGTACAGAGCTGTATATCTAAGAACTGCTTTTTTATTTCCTTTTATATTGTCGCCTGCCATAGCAGTCACATTTTAATTCAGAGAACTTGAGCCACACTTCTTGAAGATACATACACATCTCATTGATATTCCATGTTCTTTAATCCTTTTCCCCATTATGCTTATTTTGGGTTATTTTAACTACACAATACATATTTATTAATTAAAGAAACATTTGCATCTTACGTCATCATGTGTGACAGTGTGTCTCAAATCGAGGTTCTAACATCAACTTTGTGGTTACCGTATAAGGCAGAAAGACAAAGTTGTCAGATTAACCTCATTCACAGCAAACACTGAGGAACTAATTGGCATTCGTTAGATTCTTAGGAGAGAAAGAAAAATCAAAACAGAGGACATTTGTCTTAGCCTAAAAATCTCCTTCTCTTTGAAATCTTTCCTGATCTTCCTCGAGGAAGAATATTGGAAAAAAGAGAGGCTGTTTAGCTTTCCACTGAGCCTGTGGTTGATTCAGGGAGCAAAATTATGATGTGTTGTTTATTATAAATGCTAGGGGAAGAAAATACATATGGATATGAAGTACACAGAAAAACCACAGTTTTGCAGGGGCAAAGAACAATTTCCGTAATGAAATAACGTTAAGCTGAGAATCTGACTGTCATGTAGTTGACCAGTCTCAAAGTATACTCCTTTGGCCTCAGGGCATCATGGGAACCTGATAGAGATTGAAATTCTTGGACCTCATCTCTGGTCAGTGAAGCAGAAACTGGGAATGGGTTTCCAGGAGTCTAAGGGCTTGCTTCTTCCCTCCCCGCCTCCTTTTCTTCCTTAATCTCTTCTCCCCCTCCCTCACTCCTTCCCTCCCTCCATCCCTCCCTCCTTCCCTGCCCTCCTTCCTTCCTACATACCTACCTACCTGTTCCTGCCTTTCTTCTTTTTCTTTCTTCATTTCATCATTATTATTATTTTATGTGTGTGGATGTTTTGCTTGTATTTGTGTCTATAGAGCATTTATGTGTTGTGGGTCAGAGGAGGACAGAAGAGGGTATCAGATGCCCTGGAATGGGAATTGCAAGGCCTGAGAGCTGCCATGAGAGTATTGGGAATCGAACCTGGGTCTTCTGGAAGAGTTGCCAATGTTCTTAGCTCACTCCGCCATCCCCCTTTCAGTCCCGCGGTCTTTCTTCTTTTTCAGCTTTTAGATGAAGTCACAGGTCATGCTGTGTGTCCCAAACTGGCCTTGAGCTCGCTATGTGAGCCTCTGAACTTGGAGTGACCCTTTCCCCCAGTTTCCCAAATGCTGGGATTACAGGAATGTGTCACCATACGTGGCTAGGATTGTGTGTTGTTTTTTTTTTTAACAAGTTCTCGTAGTGAATTCAATAATTCATGTTGGCCGCTGAAAAACAAGCGGTTAGTTGAGCATTCTCCAAATCTAGAGGGCTGAGAGTTGGATCTGCCTGTTCAGGAATGAACCTGAGATCCTTGGAGAGAACAGCAAAGAACAGCGTTGAGAATGAATAAGGTCAGTGTTTCTGAAGCGCGGAGTGTGGGTCAGCTGGAGGTTTACGGGTAGAGGAGAGTGTGCAGAGGAAAATGGAGGTCATCCAGGATTTAGAGCCACTTCAAACTGTTTGGATTTCATGTACCACAAATGCTTATCTGCAGATTTGTCTTCTTCAATGCTGTGGGAATATACAAGGTCCAGGAGATATTTCTGTGTTGAGAATGCCCTTTGCTCTACGGACATGTGATCACGTTTAATAGATGCACACTGAGCAAACTCGTGGGTACTCCCAAAAGCCTGGTGCAATGGGCGTTCAGCTCTTAGTTGATGTTTGAGCACAACTAAGGCAGGGAGAAGGTGAGTCACTTCCTACTCAGAAGCAGAGGTGCTTCCCAGACACAGTCTCTGGACTCTGTTCCTGGAATACCTCCCTCCCCACCACTTCTCTGACCCAGAGTGCTGAGAATAGACAGGATCTGTAAGAGTGGCTCGCTGTTTGCCCAGTCTGTGGGAATTCCATGTTCAGCTCTGTCTTTTCTTTTTCTTTTCAGACAGAAAAGGGGAGCGCTCTCCATGAGGCGGCTTTGTTTGGGAAGGTGGACGTGGTGCGAGTCCTGTTAGAGACAGGTAGTTACCACTGTGCTCCCGGGAGCTTGTCCGGCTAGCTACTGTGGCTGTTTCAGGGTTAGCTGAAGGAAGATGGCGGCCTTCTTCACAAACCATCCCTTCCTCCAAATTGCAGAGAGGGAGTCCCACCGTGTAAAACTGGGCTTTGATGTTCAGATAAGGTTGATATAAATATCCAAGCGAGCTGAAGAAACCACCACGAGGAGAAGGAAGATCTCTGCTTTCGGCAAGATGGAGGGACTGGCCCCTGAGGAGTTATGGCAGTGGTGTGGACTCTTGGTCTTTTCCACTGTGACCCATGGCCATACAGATTTGGGTCCCTGATCCTTAGGGCAGATTCTCCTTCTCCCTACTCCTTGGCTGAGTAGCTGTACATTGGCTATAGAAGTTTATTTTTAAAAGGAGCATTTTAGAGGGACTATTTTGAAGGAAAAACAAAGGTAGGCTTACTTATCACCTGCATATTCTGACCGGAATGGGATAAGTTGAAATCGAGGTCAGACTTTTGAGAATCAAAAGATACGAGTGCAAATCATTACTCCCCACAGCTGAGGTGAGCCATGTTCTGTAGTACAGTGTGTTTATTGGCTCTGTGAACGAAAGCCATGGTCGGGCTATCATGCCCTTCTGTGTTCACTATGTTAAATGTTTGTGTTATTTAATTTTGACATGCAGCACAGTAATAGAATAAATGACCTGAGACGCCAGTTAAATACATTCTACTTATATTCTCACAGAAACTTATAAAGCTGGTATTTAATAATCTTACAGTGAGTCAACATCTGGGATAAAATACTCTACACTGGCCTCATTTGCAATCAGGTGTTTGGAAAGTTCACAAGCTGAATTAGAGTGCTGGGATCTAATGGCTGCATTAAAATCAATTTTTTAGTGTGACGCATAATCTTGGAACTAAAGTCATAACAGAGATGTTTCAGCCACACAGTTACGTCGGTTTGCTTAAATAGCTTATGAGTGTGGCCGGCACTGGAGATAATCTGAAAGAAGTGAGTGTCCAGGGTATCTGGAGTATACAGTCCGTAGACACTTGAGATGATTATACTTTTCCAAATTTGTTTGCATTGAATATTCTAAGCGTTCTTACATTATACTATGTATGATTATCATTTATTAAAATTTTAAAATTGAATTATACAGATTATACAAATCACCTTGCCATTACAGTTTAGGATTTTAGCTTATAAGTAAGAAATATTTTAACTTTGATAATAAACTATTTATTTAATATACTATCCACAACCCCAAAGAGACTCTGAGGTCCTGCAAAGCAGTCTTTATAACTGTGTCGGAGAACTCTAAGAGTCGATTCATTATCAAGAATTTTCCACATTTTTAGCAACATTCGGCCCCTGCCTTCTCTCTTGTTGAAATCTTATGTGTGTAGCTTAGTTTCTAAGGCACCTTCAGTGCTTGGCCTATATGCGTGTGAAATTAGAACAGTTACATATTGGCAGTATCATCCGAGGACACGCCATCTAGTTTCTCCTTTTCCTCCAGGAATTGATGCCAACATCAAGGACAGCTTAGGTAGAACGGTCCTAGACATTCTGAAAGAGCACCCGTCTCAGAAATCTCTCCAGATTGCAACACTCTTGCAAGGTAAGCAATATCGAATGCTGGATGACTTTGCCTTACAGCCACGGTTCAATTGAAGCCGTCGTAAGTTTTAACCGGGGCTTTGAGTTAGTGTTTGATTTTGAATTAGCTCATTATTTCTATATTTTTTTTCTGGCATATTTTAAGATAAATAATAATTCATTTAAATGTTTTAGTTCTGTGTTTACTCTGTACCGAAACAGTTACTTATGTACTACTTGATATAAAAATGTTTTAAAAAGTCAGTGGAGAGTGCTGGTTTGAGGTTAATAGGCTCTCGGAGCTGGTAAGGATCCCATATTACCTTCCCTTTGAATAATACCATAAGATTTTTTTTCAAAGACTTTTCTATAATTTTGTCTGATTTCTACAATTATGACGTAGCTATGTATCATCGACCTTACTCATGAGGGACACTGGAGCTCTGGTATATTTTTTTGCTTGCTCACACTCATATTTCTGCCCTGTGCCATGTAGCAGTGATAGTACATGAAGGCTGAACTGCCAACAGTCCAAAGGGCAGCTGGCCAAAGGATTGCCAGCTGTTCCTCCTGCAGGTAGATCGGTCACAAGTGCAACAGTGGAGAGAGAAGCAAGACAGCTCCTTCCCAGATGGGAAACCGAAGAACAGCGTTGCTTTGTAAGAAAACTTAGGAATGAAAACCAGGAGGGGCTAAGGAGATGTGGATACGGGGGTCAGGGAAAGCCAAATGGGTGTGTAGGTTAAATGGTCACCATGTTTCTTTCTTAACTGACTTCTAAAGCCTTCCCTGGAAGTTTAGGCCCCTATAATTTTGTTGTCAATAAATTTTGTTACCAATAAAGAAGTTGATTGCAAGTCAGAACACCTCCAGATGAATCAGAGAATCCAAGTATGACTTTTCATATTAATTCTAATTAAGTCAAGTTGGATGAATGCTAAAAAGAAAAATGGCACACCTTGTTCTTACCTATATTCTACCCTCAATGCACTTGTATTTTAGGTTAGACTTTTGCCTTCAACGGAACTTTAAAAATCCTTGACTTTTGTGGATATTATATCTTTTGGAGAAAGTAAAATAAAATTTTCCTACTAAAAGGGGGCAAGATAAAATTTTAGGGTTTTCAAACATATTGCATGGTTCAGTATGATAAAAAATATCTTGTTGGAGCAAACTTTGTTCTTCATTAAAGGCCAAGGTTGATTAAGTGTATCAGTTTGCATTGGGTATCTTAGGGGAATTTTTAGTATTTCCTATCACTGGAAAATACCTTATATTATTTCCACAAAGTCACTTTATCAATGGCTTTCCCAATTATACATTATCAATTTGTAATTACAAATTACAAGGTTTTTTGTTGCTGTTGTAAATATTGCTATTAAATTTACATAATTACTGCATGGTCCGGAAATTTTCAGGATATGATTCTGCAGGTTACTTCCTTTTCCTAGTAGAATTTGCCGTGTAGACTTGTCCTTTGATCTGAACTATTCTAAGGGTGTGGGGACACAATTGACTGGCATATAACACACATTTTCACAAGTGGATTCTTATGAAGCTGATTTTTTTCTGAATAAAGAATACAAGCAAAGGATCCAGTGGGAGATCTGCTTTACTCCATTAGAAGAGGGCTATAAACCAGCCCTACATAGGCTGAACTCTTTTGGGGTGTGGCAGATATGTTTCCTTTAGGTCACACATATTTTACGAGCACTGTTTTCTTAAGAACAAAATTAGTTGCTGGCATTTAAAAATATCCAGAATTATAACTAAATCTTTAGAATTTTGGCATTCGTGAAAATCCAGGCTCCCGTCTTATGTAAGTGCCAAACTTTTAGAGGGAGCACCTGCCATTAAACATGTCTTGCACATACCCTGTGTTTCGTGTGTCAGCCAGGCTGAATATTCTTTGACATTTACCTGGGTGTCCAGTGTAGTTTCCCTTAGGATTAAGACAAAGGTGACATGTTTTCATGGTCTTTGTCTATCTGACTCTACCATTTGTTAGCAGAGCGAGTTAATAACACTCCTCTTCTAAGTTGTCGTCTTTAAGATTGAGGTAGAGCTGGGTGTGGTGATGGATACCTGTAATCTCAGAATTTGTGAAGCTAAGCCAGAAGAGTCACAAGTTCAAGGTTACCCTGGGCCACATAACGGGTCCCTGTCTCAGATCTCGAATACAACAGCAACGCCCCAGACCTATGCAAACTGAGCTATCAATAGTGAACATGCCAGTTTCGTAAGGATTACACAGGCTAACATATTAAGTATTTAGAACTAGGCTGTTATTATTATGCCTTTATAGAAAAAGCAAAAGCAAAAGATAAGTTGCATGCAGGACATTATTTCAAGAGTAACAGGGGTGAGTATTTTTTCTGTATATAAATAAAATATAGCGCGGATATTATGCTTATCTTTCAAGCCCACACCACCTTTTCATCCACTTCTGTTACTCAGGAGGTTGGTTATAGTCATCTGGTTTGAAGTCTCTGGGTTAGTGACAGCATCTACTTGGCACGTCTTCTGGGGGACTTTAAATTGCCAAATAGAAAATATTTAACAAGAGCAAGAGGTACTTGTGTCTCCAATGAACATGTTTATCTTTAAGGAAACACACGTTTTTACTTAAATGTTTTACTAAGCTTCTCTTGAAGTTCTCCGGGTTTGTTTCAGTTTCATTTTATTCTTTTTGAAGAACTTGTGATAGCTATTGATTTTCAATACACATGAATCCAAGTGCATAACCTCGGAAATTTGTATTCCCAGACTATCTAGAAGGTGTGGGAAGGACCTCAGTCCTGGAAGAGCATGCTCAGGAAGATACGCCGCAAGAGACACACCTTTCGTCTCCCGCCGAGTCTCCTTCCCAAAAGAGTAAAAGTGCGTACCTGCCAAAAGCCCCGGAAACAGTCATACCAGACTTCTCCGGTCAGATTTACCAAAGGGCATTAGATGAGCTAACACCAGTGGACATTTCCAGTTTAGTTATTTGTGGCGTATGCTTTGCATTTTGAAAACTTACTTAGTCAACATTTATAGATTTTCTGCTGCTTCCTTGGGATGGCTCCTGGCATTGACACAGGGCACCGATCAAAGTAGTTAGCAATCCTTGCCGAAATAAAGTTCATATGGAGTAGAAATGGCTATTTTCACAAGTGTATCTTATCTAGCTTTATTGAGGCATATTTGACAAATAATAATTTTATATTTGTAGCATATAATGTGAAGTTTTGACACACACACTGTGGCTTTACTGTCACATTTAAGCTAATTAACAAATGTATCACTTTGCATAATGACAGCGTTTTGGTGGTGCAAACAATATCACACGTTTTGGGGAATTCAAGGACACACTGTAGTATTTTACCCATCTTCACTGCACTGCGCTACACTTAGATGCCCTGAGTCGACTCGTTCACTCCTAACTGAAGTCGTGAATGCTTTAGTCACTAGATCTATCATTTTATATGTTGCCTATATATGCGAGATCAAGCAGTATTTGTTTATTGCAGCCTCATTTAGCTCAGCAACATGACTTCCAGTTTTGTTAGTGTTTATCAAAAGAAAGGGGCCCTTCATTTAAGTGTTCCTAATGGTCTGTTATTTATCTTTCTATTTTTCCCTATCCATCTCTCCAACAATAGATGTTTAATTTTTCCTCACATCTCAGTCGTCCTAAATAGGGCTTCAGTTAAAATGGGGTTATGTGTGTGACCTCAAGGAAGTGAGATCAGCACTAGAAGTAGGAGTGCTGGTACCGAAGAACATACGTGTTTTCTACAGTGGCGCCTATATTCGCACAGTGGCGTGCAAGCTCTCCTTGCCCCACAGCCTCACCAACACCTGCTCTCTTCCATCATTTTGATGATATCCACGAGATATGAGATCCCTTTCTGATTTTAATTTCCAGTTCCCTGATTGTCAGTGATGTTAAACTTTTAAACTTTTTTTTTCTTTTAATGTATCCACTGGCCAATTGTATTTCTTTCTTTCTTTTTTTTTTTTTTGAGAAATTGAAGTCTAGGCGTTTAGCCTATTTGCTAACTGAACTTACACGACAGGTGATAAAATTGTCTATTCCTCCGTTTCCCCCCTTTTCTCATATATCACACTCCCAATTGCCTACATGTATAATGATTTGTTTAAAGACGTTAATACTATTTATGCCCATTGAAAATAGGAAGTAGGTTTTTGACATTATTCTAAGCTTGTTAATGACTCATGGATCCTGTCAGTGAAGTAAAATGCCAGTAAAAAATGAAGAAATAGATCCAAATGCTGTCAGCGGTCACGCTCTGGCCGTCCTGTGTGAAGCTCTGAGTTCAGTGCTCATTCTGCTGCCACCGAAAGTCAGATCCTATCATAAACAAAGCTCTAGGAGCTAACTAGTTAGGACCATTTGTACTTAAACTTTCAATACTGATTTCTGCTTTGACAAAAAGTAGCTACAGTCAAACTTCAAACTTCCTTTGTCTGTTAGCATGCTCATGTTCATTTCTTACTTTATGTTAATATGTTATATGCATTATGCAAACATGTAGCTATGTATTATGTAAGTATATAAATATGCAAATATGTTAATTATGCTTAGTACTTTGCTTTGGCCAGATGTTTCTACCTACTTACTTGCTGTGTTTTGTCAACATAGTAGTCTCATTTATATTATTTAACATTACACTTTAGTAATAATATTTCTCGCAACATCTGAAAAAAAATTGTTTCCTTGTAGGTGAAACTGTCACCGGGGAACTATCGAAACTCCTGGATGAAATAAAACTCTGTCAGGAGAAGGATTATTCTTTCGAAGATTTGTGCCATACGATTTCAGACCACTACTTAGATAATCTGAGCAAGATTTCAGAGGAAGAACTTGGGAAAAATGGAAGCCAGAGTGTAGTAAGTAAGGGGGGCATGAAGACAACGCTTCCGTCTGTCTTCCCGCGTCTGTCTTTCCAGTGTGGTGCATGCCACAGTGGCATGGGAATGGTCGACTTACTAGGTTATCAGGTTCAGCTTCAATCAAATGTCAGTCTCCTGTGAGCTTTTCCCTACTGTTTGCAGGGTTGTCTCTCTGTAGCAGGTACAAGGGAAGAAGAATGCTGGGGACAGACTGAGAGGGTGGCCCAGGGCTAACCATTTGTGATGGTGTCACTAGGGTTAGATTCCTTCTGTGACATGCAAGTTGCAGTTTCTTGGAACATGGATATTTAATTTAATTGAGCATAATTACTTCGACTCCTGGAGGAAAAAAAAAACATTTGTCTTTTGTCTGTCCTCTCTGCTGTCTCTATAAGTCCTCAAGAACACAATAGGACAAAACCATATGTGTAATTCTTTAGTTACGGCGGCACAGGTCAGCTTACGTGTTTTCATGACATTAGATGCCCAGGGAGTCCCATTTGTGACCTCAGGATCTAAAGTGCTAGTTAGATATTCTTGTTTATTGTGAGTTTTTCTATCAACAATAGCAAAAAAAATTGTAATTGACCCGCTTTAAATTATGGGTTATAAACCCACTTTTGACCCTGAAGGCATGATTCATAGTCTGTAGAGGAGTTAAGGAAATGGGCTGTTTTGACACAAACTGTTTACTCACTTTTAGGACTTGTTTTCCTAGAGCAGTCTCGCACGTTACTCAAGAGTACATAATAGAGTACATTGTGATAAGTATGTCATATTATTTTAAAAATTCAACACAATTCTAAGTGTGGTGCTTGTCCGTTTCGGGAACTTGCACTTCGTTTAGCTCCGGGAAGGGAGGCGTGACACCGTTTCTCCGCAAAGCGCCTGCTGATCTAGTTCAGCAGCTAAACTTACCTCCCAGCCCTACTTTTTTTGGTTGTTGTTCCAATTTTTTTCTCTGAGGCTGTCCCGTTACTGCCCTTCCTCCAGTCCGTTACAAATAACTGGAATAATTATATATGCCTTACACCAGAAGTTTGTAGGTTTTACAAAATGAAAATCTTCCATTAATGAGATATTTATATTCATCAGCATAAAATGCCCCTTTTAGAAGTCTAAAACTAACTTCAAAGTACAGATTATTGTAGCCTAACATCTATTGGAAAGCCACTTAGAACTTGGAACGTAGCTGAACCATATAACTAGTATATGATGCCTGGATTTTTATAACCATCCCTAAAGCTTTCTATCAATTGGCAAATTCTAGAGCACCCTTCGAAACCCACAGATTTCCACAAAGCCCTAATGTTCTAGGTCAATGCTTTCTAAAGACTTTATTAAATATGTTCGCAAACAAACTTAGACAAACATTCCTTGTGTGTTGATATATGTGTGTTGATATCTGTATATCTATATAGATAGATATACACACCAATAATATCTATCTGTATGCACATACATGCACACACACTATCCTAGTGCTACATATGTAAACCAAGAGAGATTTACTTCACAAGAAATCAAGAAATTCAGTTAGGAAAACAGAGACAAATCAAGCAGAAGCTCTAATGTTTTTCTTTTCCTCTAAATCCTGTGTGGCTGGGCTCTGTGTTCTCTGTGGAGAGTGTGATATAGGCATATCCGTTTCAGGGAGTGATGATAGGGGCTCTTGGCGCAATGCGTTTTGGAGAAGGTGGCTACTTTGTCTCACTAACTGAAGACTGGGTTGAGGTAGCAGCAAGGGAGAAACTAATGCTCATGTTTGAAACTAAATCTTTCATAGTTGAGCCCAGACATTCCTACACTCTTAGTTCCGGTGACAAATAATCTATAATATAATACCATATTCCTTGAAATTACTGTCACATAAAAATACCAAAGGCTAAATAAGGCAGGGTAGCAGAAAGTATACAAAGGAGCAAGTAAATCCATTTATTTGTAATAGAATTTACTGAGGGCAAGGATGAGAAATACAATTAAAGGGATGAATGGAGTTAGGCAGTAGGTGGCTTGAATACTGGGATTAGAATTTTGATATTTTCTCCTTAGGAAATGAGAAAAACCTAAAAAATATTTGGGCAGACAAAAGACATCATTGGAACTGATCTTTCAGAAGATAAATCTGGCAGAAACATCATTGTTCAAAAAACCATCCAATTCCCTTGACCTTCTCTAGAGCCTACATCTTATCTGTAGTCATTCTGTTCTGTCTCCTGTTTGTTTTCATTTGTTGAAGTTTTTTTCCTTGAGTATTGCTAAGGATTGCCCCCTCATGATACAAACAGCTTAATAAAGTGCTTTTACGTTGCCTAGCATAGGCAGCCATTGCCATGTTTAAAAGTAGAGGTATATAGATTCAATATGCAAGACTGTAGTTGACTTCAGAGAGTTCCAAACGCCCATCTCAAAGAGCCTTCAATCACTTTTTGTAGACAAGACTAACGCATAAAACAAATATATATATACATATATGTATATATGTATATATATAATGAATTGATACTTAATAGGTGCTTGCTACCTATTATTCTAATGTTTTACATGATTTAAACCACTAGTAAACAGTCTCAAGATTGAAATTATAAATTTGGGAAATGACTTACCTGGCATGTGCCATACCGAGGATTTAAACCAAGAACTGGTATTTTAAATTCTCAGCTGCATTTCTTGTCGTACGTTACCCTGTGGCCAAAAAAACTTTAAGAAGCGAGAGATCAGGGATCTACTGGTGTTCCCTGGAAGCTTCCTGGGTGTGGGTTAAGACTAAGATGGTTCCCGGAGAAAGGGGAGGTGGGATATACCTTGTGCTTTTCTTGAAATGATTGAATCAGGGAGGAACAAAGCTTGAGAAAATAGTGCGTGCAAACACAGAGGTCAGAATCCATGTGTAGCTTGGAAAGAATGGTTTCCCATGATGGAAAGAAAAGTTAGATGAATAGTGATAAAACCTAGCAGACACTATTGTTTCTCCCGTTTTACAGATGAGAGAGTGAAGGCTCGGAAACTTTGATGATTTCCCCCCTCAGGGTCACATGACCAGAATACTTAGACTCAGATCCTGACTCTGGAGTCGAGTTGTATTGTACATCACTCCCTGTATCATCAGGGACAGCGACAGATCAGGAGACTAACTCTAGGGGAGTTCCCTTGATACTTTGGAAGATTAAGGGTTAGGGTTAGGGTTAGGGTTGGGTATTCTGGGGATAGACTGTGGTTCTCATCAATGAGTTTGCCTTAGAGTAACGAGGAAAGGCTTTAAAAAATAAGGCCTCATATGTCATAGCTCCTAAGTCAAAACCAGCTGAGAGGGAGCTGTGATGGTGGATATCTGTGAATGCCAGCATTTAGGATGCTGGAGCAGGAGGATCACAAGTTCAAGCCGTGTGGGGCTATATAGCAACCTGAGGCCAGCCCTGGCTACACCTAGTGCATGTTAGAAAAAAAAATCTTGACTGCTCTTACCAGTTGTTTTTAGAGAGGCCCCCTACATTATTTTAACAGGCATCTAATTGATCTACTGAAAGAAAATTCTACCAGAATCTTTATCGACCAGTTCAGGCCTAACATGAGAGCGGAGCTTAGTTCCTAATAACACCATCCAGTATGTGATTTTTGAGCTAGAACAAATCTTGTAGCTCTTGTCGGGGCTAACTTCTTCAGTTCTCTAACTTGTTCATTCTGTTTAAGTTCTAGAACTAGGGAATATCTTGGTTTTGACTCTTCGGCAAGTTATTACCCAGTGTGTAGCTTGAAGAGAAACATTGTTTCTCACAGTCCCGGAGGGCGCTCGCAAAGCAGGAGGCTGTGAAGAGCTTGCCTCCTGGTTTGCCGGGTTTTTGCCGGTGCCCCTTTTTCTCTTCTCATGTTTCCCCACATGACTGAGGACAGAGAGAAAAATCAGGCTCTCGGTTGGCTTGGCATGGAGACGTTATTCCACCACTGATGGCTATGTGCTCATCACCTGGGTACCTCCCAGCGTCCTTTGCTCTACTCTTTTAGGGGTTGGCATATCAGTATGTATATCTGGAAAGGACAGAGACTGGCTCCTTACCATGAAACAAATTTAAACTATACTATACTCTGACAACAGTCCAAACTTGCAATTATTTTTGTGCTGTATCAAAGCTTTACCTATAGAAAACATTTTTGTTATTCATATTCCTAGCTATATGAAGTTCAATCACTTTGAATGCAATTTAGTTTTAGATGCGCCAAAAAGTCTGACTTGTTCATTTTATTACTATTCATAATTTCAAAATTAATTAAGAAATTATAAAATAAAAGAAAAATATGCTGTGTAACATCATATCATCCATAAATGTATTTTAGATTTTCGTGATGTAGCTTGACCTCAGACTGCTTTATCCTTAGTTCAGTACAACTTTTATTTCCTATCTTCTTCCAACAGAGGGCGCTCTGATTCAGGAATTTGACACTAAATCAGATATCTTATGTAAGAACTTCCGATTTTTTTAAAATCAGAGATGTTTGATTTTATTCAAATAATTCTACTATTATAAATTAATTAAAAATTAATTCCTTATTCTTATTAACCTAGATGTTTTATATTTAAAGACCAACTCAAGTTAAAATTATATTTTATCTTGCCTGCATTTTAATTCAAAAGCTAATCGTTTCTGAATGCTCTTATAACATGCATATAAGACCATTTTCCAAGTTGAATCAGAACATTATATAATCTAGGATAGAAATTTTGAAGTAATATTTTTGTATTCTTTACCAACGCATGAAGTTTGCTTTCAAAAGAATATAAAATGATCTAAAATTTCTCTACTGTCTTCATTTATCTTGTTGTCTTATTTTAATCACTTATATAAACAATATGCATAGTGCTTAGATTTGAACACACCAGGCTGTAGGAACTCTGATGTAATATGAAGATTATAGCAGATTGAATCATTTGGCTTAGGTCTAAATAGAGAAAGCATTATTGCCTCATTAGCCTATGTTTAAAAGAAATAGGTAAGACAGTG